CACCTGTGTACATAGACTACATTGGCTTGTGGTACAAATACAACCTGTTTCCCTTTTATATCCATGAACCACATGTACAACTGTACACTACAGTATATTCATATAGAACAGACATAGAATTGTATGATACTGCTTAAAACATACACATTTTTCATAATGACATGAACTATAATATACAGCTGTGTTATTATTATATAATAAAAACTGATCTTTCTCAGTATGCAGTATGTATTCTGTACTGATGTACATATTGTGTACCTAAAGGCATATTCTATATGAAATGTAACCACCCAAATCCAACAGCAAAGGTCCCTGTGATAGAAAGGTAAGCTGCCAATATAATACTTAGTCTCTTATCTAGTACACAGCAGAATTCAGTTGTCCACATCTTTAAAAGAGAACAAGCAAAATAAGAAATGATGGGCAGATGGAAGGTGGACAAACACCTCAGAGGGCTATGTTCCAGGTGACATGTAAAGAAATGCACAGTATTCACACATTTAAACTGTACAGAAGACAAGAACACACATACTGACCATTATAAAAGTAGATGAACTCTAGTAAAATGATTGCCAGTTGTAAATATCCTGGTCAACAAGCTACCTAAACAGTGGTATGCTGCAGATTTATTTCGCTGTTGCCAGTGTGTGTAAGTTCCCCTAAACTCATCTTTATTTAGAGCCTTCTTCAAGCATGCCATTTAGCCCTAAGCCCTAATTCTGTGATGGTTCAGTTTTTTTTAACCGACTTGTTTTTCCCAAATACTTTATTCTGTGTCCTTGTTCTTTTCTAATGACACTGTAGCGCCTCTAGTCTGGACCAGTGCAAATCAAGACACTAACTTTGACTAGGTTCAGAATACAAAATGGTATTGGTTTTAAGTAACTACAAGGAGTTATCGAAAAGTGGTTTAGCTGGTGGTTTATTGCCTCTCCATACATTAAATGAACAATACACAGCGTGTGCACAGTGATGGGTTTGTATATAAAGAATTAAATCAATCAAATCAAATCAAATTTTATTTGTATAGCACCAAATCACAACAAAAATCATCTCAGGACACTTTACAAAGTTATCAATATTATTACATAGGGAAAACCCAACAAATCCCCCTTGAGCAGCACTTGGCGACAGTGGGGAGGAAAAACTCCCTTTAACGGAAGAAACCTCCGACAGACCCCGGCTCTTGGTGGGTGGCCTTCTGCCTCGACCGGTTGGGGTGAGTGGATAGAGGAGAGACAAAAGAAGAAAAGCAACAAGAGACAACAATCAAACACTGATCAGGTCGATGTGGCTGGCGACTGCTCGTCAGAGACGTAGAGCTCCAGGGCCAGGGCAACCTGCAGAAAGGTACAGGGAGAGAGAGAGGACACACTACGGGAGAGAGGAGACAATTAACAAAATAGAACCATTTCTTTTAAAATAAAAGAAAAAAAATTCAGGTCAAAACAACAGGTAAAGTGTACTTTTCCCATCATAAAAGTTTGCAACAAGTCGGTAATGAGCATATGCTTCACCTACCGGAATTTGAGTGACTGATAACTCAACACAAGTGTCTCTCCACTTGTTCACAGTTGACATTTCTAATAAGATTCCTTAAAAGAATGAGTAGGTTTTTATCACAATTTATGGTATTACATTCCAGATATTCTCCGCATATGCAGCACGTGTGCATTTTGGGAAGCGATCTCAAGTGAATAAAGTGACGGGATCACGCTTAGCATACTCCAATACACAGTGCCATAGAGGCCCCTTGTGGGTTTAACCTCTAACTACTTTAAATAACATATACAGGTTTGGTAGGCCTATGTTTCAAATTGGTTACAACATATTTTTTAATTTCCGTAGTTTCTTAACTTGATGTTTGACATTGGAAGGACTGTCTGTATGTTTCTAATTTCATTTTGGTTGACTAAACCAGGCAAAGGGAAGAAAGTTTTGAGCTTTCACCAGGTTAGAGGATCTGGCTAAGAAAGATTGCTCAACGCAGATGGATTTGGGTCACAGTGCATAAAACAGGCACTGACCACCATTGATCAAAAGTAAAGTTCAAAGAACAGGATTAGACAATAAAAGATAAAGACGGTTACTGCAAACAAAAGTAGAATTGTGCATTGTCCAATCACTGTTTTTAAAGTCAGTCTACTTGTAGGGCTGGGCGATAAGTCGATTTTATCGATTAACTCGAATGTGTAGTTTACATCGGTTTGTTTGAATGAAAATCGGTTTTATCTTGTTAGGTAATTTCTTAGTTAGATAGATATTGATTAGAGATCTGTTGTATTAGAAGATGTTAGTGTAGCCAGGATGTCTTTCTCAGGCTGTTAAATGCAAGGTCGGTTAAAGCAGAGAAAGGCTGCTGTCAGGGACAAATGTTATTATGACGGTAAAAGTAAACATAATATTTGGCTTAATGTGTAATGTTATGTCAAATTGTTTTAGATACACACCACGAAAACAACAGCCACACACATTATTTTCTTCATGTTTTGTCTACTGCTCTGCTCAGCTGCCAAGCTGGCATATCAGGTGACGTCACGGTTCGACAGCCCAGAAAGGATTATTTGAATAAACCAGCACGGTTATATTTTTTATATACTCAAGTGGTCTGAGTCGTCCCTCTGAGTTCCTGGTTTGAAAGAACCGGATGAGGCTTTATAATGGAATAGAGCCTTTAATCTTTAACATCTGCCGGCGCTCCCCTCTCGGCTCCCGTAGTTTCGAGTGGGCTCAGCCTGTTTGCCATAAAGATAGCATGGCAGCGAGCAGGGAAGAACTCGTTCAGAAAAAAGGCACAGTGTCATCAGTAATATGGAATTGGTTCGGTTTTGACGTGTCAGACGCAGAACAAACAACACCCCTCTCCAAAGTGTGTTTAAAGTCTGTTGCTACCAAAGGTA